GCCCCCCCTCCGACCGGAGGAGGAGGAGGAGGAGGAGGAGGAGGAGGAGGAGGAGGAGGAGAAGGAGGATAATCTCGACGAGGAGGAGGAGGAGGAGGAGGAGGAGGAGGAGGAGGAGGATCTCGAGGAGGAGGAGGGGAGGAGGAGGAGGATCTCGAGGAGGAGGAGGAGGAGGAGGAGGAGGAGGATCGAGGTAAGGACTGGGAGAAGGGGAAGAGGAGGAGGAGGAGGAGGCACTGTGGAGCGGCCGCGCCGATCCCAAGCGATGGCCGACACATCAGAGGGGAGACGAGGTCAGAGGAGGAGGAGTAGGAGGAGGAGGAGGAGGAGGAGGGGAGTTCCCGTTCCCAAAGGACGGGAGGAGAAACCGGAGAAGGAGGATCGGGGGCCCCTCTAACGGTGTGGTGACCGCACCGCGTGGTGAGTCAGTCGGGATTCGGTGTCATCGCACGGTTTTGGGACTCGGGTCGTTATCCGAGGACGTATCGGGTGATTGGGGCTTCTGGGGTCCCAAAAGCTTGCGGTGAGGCCGTCCCGGATTCCGAGGTCACCACGCGGTCCGTCATTACACGGCGTTGGGACCCAGAAGAGGAGGAGAGGAGAAGGAGGTGTCCTCCTCCTCCTCCTCCTCCTCCTCCTCCTCCTCCTCCTCCTCCTCCTCCTCCTCCTCCTCCTCCTCTTCCTCGAGATCCTCCTCCTCCCCCTCCTCCTCCGCCTCCTCCTTCAAGTCAGTGCATCGCTGCGGCATTTGTGCTCCGATGGCTTCGGGAGGAAGAAGAAGAAAAAGAAGAAGAACAGCAAGAAGAAGAAGAAGAAGAAGCCGAAGAGGAAGAATAATGGTGGCCATCTCGGAAAGGCCAGCGAGCGCCACCCTGCGCACCAGCGCGAGCGTTTTTTGTCCAAATTCTGGTTCGCCGTGGCGCCCGCACGGACTCTGGCTCCGCGGCTGCGCGCCGAGGGTGAGGACGGTGCCGTTTCTTGGAAGGGGCACGGGCCCAGGGCTCTCTTCCAGGTGGCCAGTGAGGCGACCCTTCACTTGCGGGGCGCCAGCGATTTGCAAGGCTTTTTGTTTGAAGCCATGTAGATCCACATGTCCAGTGGGAAAAAATATGTTCTGTCTGCCCACTCGAGGAAAGTAGACCCCCCTACGTCCGATCCTCTGTCACGAACTGGGTCCAAAGACTTTTTGTGCCATTGTACAAAAGGGTCTGGAGCGTTCTGCTTTGAATCCTTGTGAGGTATGCGTTGAGATTTGCCGAGCAGCCTGTCGTGCGTTGGAATGTGTTGAGGGGTGCGCTGACATGTGTTAAGGGGTGCGTCGACATTCGTGTTCTGCGTTTGAAGAGGGGTGCGTGGAGACATTGTCCTTGTGTGAGGGGTCCTTGTGAGGGGTGCGTTTCGAAGAAAATGCGGAGCAACTCACGGCAGGTTCGCGTCGTGCCGATTGGCGGCGACCCCGCCTGCGGCGTTCAACGTTTGACGCCGCGGGCGACCCAAAATCGTTCGATGTGGAACGGTCGGGACGGTTCGGAAGCGGCCCGATCGCTCAAGGTTGAACGATCCCCGCGGTGCCAGACACCAGCGCCGAAGGCGGCACGACACGGACCTGCTGCACCTCGGCGTGCCCGCCCAGGTGCGGGGGGCGCGCCCCGCGCTCCGAGGCTCCCCCGCGCACGCACGCCACGGGGCGCGGAGGCACCCCCTCCCCGGGAGGCCCAGGAGGGCCCCTGGCGGGCGTCCCGGGAGGCCTTGGCGGTGGGCCCCCCCTCGGAAGCCCCCTGGGCGCCCCTCCCGGACCCCCTTCGAGCAGTGAAAAGATCACGACGGGAGGTGTCTCGTCCTTCTCGGCCCCCGCAAACTCTCGCTGGGCTTTGGGGAGCGTCAGGAGACGACTCGGGACGACAAGCCGGTCCTGGAGAATGTGTCGAGACCTCCGGGGGTCGACGTCACGGAAGATCACGACGTCGGGGGTCTGGGCCTGCTTTGGCAGGAGCGGCAAAAGCAGGCACGCGTCTGACGCAAGCGTGCCTTCTCTCTCGCCGGCTTCGAGGGGCGTGCGTCGTGGGAGCGCCCGTGGCACGTGGGAGCGCCTCGCGGACCCGGGGGGGCGCATGCGCGTGCGTGGCTGGGCGCGTGCGCCTCCTGCGGTGGGCGGCCGGAGCTCCTCCTCGGCCGCCGGGCCCCGGGTGCCCCGGGCGTCATGTTTCTTTTCTGTTGTCGCGGCAGCTGCTCCCAGAGGCAGGGGGGCGGCAGCAGGGCGCACACGTCCATGAATGGAGCAGGGACCGAGCGTCCCAGCATGCCGACAGTCCCACCACGAAATGTTCTTAGATCCCAAGAGCGTTCTAAGAACGAAAACCAGGTTCTTAGAGCATAGCCTCATGCGTTAAAACAAGGCAGTCCCGGCCAGAAATGTTCTAAGAACACTTCGTGGAAACCACAACATGTCCTTAGAACCTTCTTTGGTAGGGCTATAGGCACCCCGGGACGTTCCGCCACTGCTTGAGTGAATCCGAGTTGGTTTCGAGCGTGCGCCCTGCGCGAACGTTCCTGTCACGCGGCCGGCCTCGCGGATTGCGGGGGCCGTGTTCCTGTACGTGTACGTGAGCGGGCGCGGCCGATTCCCCGGGACCGCTTCCCCTCAGGGTGGGCGGGACCCGGTTCCCCAGGACCGGTCCCGGGGCCCTGTCAGAGCCCCGAATCATCAGGGGTAATTCGGGTCAGGGTTAACTCGGGTTCGTGTTTCGGGAATCCAAACCCGAGTTACCCCGGACCCGAGTTACCCCAGATAGCTCGGGCGTCCAGAGCCCCACATCATCAGGGGTAACTCGGGTCAGGGCTAACTCGGGTTCCTTTTCCGGGAATCCAAACCCGAGTTACCCCGGACCCGAGTTACCCCGGATAACTCGGGCGCCCAACCCTGCGAGAGCCCCCAGAAGCCAAAAAATACAACAAAGAATCGTCCGTCGCGTTTCTGTTGCCACGGCGCGAGGGGAGAGCCTGCTACGCACGGAGTGGCATCAACGAAAAAGCTAATGAATCGGTTGGCCGTGGTGAAGCGGCTACGCTGCCCACCTCGAGGACTGCTATGCTGCGGCTCTGGCCCCGAGCCGCGTCGACGAAGGTCATGAGTGCGAAGGCCTATTGGGTGGTCTTTCTTCCCAAGACTTAGGAGGGGAAAAATCACACAGACACAATTAATCGTCGATTCCCCCGAAAAATATGGGAACATATGGGAAGTGGGGAAGAAAAAAACCCAGAAAATATGGAAAATATGGGTCTTCCTGTTAGTTGTGTCTATTCATTTGTGTGTCCCAGGGCCCCTTCAAAGACGAGCCTTTCTGATGGTCTCGAACTGGGAACGGGCTCGCTCTCTCGCGTGACTCCGTCCCCCAGCGGCCGCTCGGCTTTCCCCTACCAGCCAGCTTTCCCCCCCCACCCACGCGCGCGCCCGGCAGCGCCCCTACAGGATTGCGGCCTCAGCGTGATGAGGGAGACCTCGCCGCCGCCGCACCCGCGGGGACCATCTCGATCCGATCGATCCGGCTCGTTGCCGAGTCCACCACGTTTGTCGGCGGCGAGCGAGGGGGGGGAAGTGAGAAGGAGAAGGCCTGGTCAGAAGGCGGCGGGACTTCTCAGAAGCCCTCGCGCCTTCGGAGAAGTTGTTGTTGGTCTTCGGAGAAGGCTCAGAAAACTTCTCAGAAGGCCTTCTCCTTCTCACTTTCCCCCCCTCGCTCGCCGCCGATTTTGTGGTTGCGGCGAGCTGGGCCCCACAGGTGGTTGGGCCTCGGTGGGACGCGTGCGCAGCGAACGACGGCGAAAGCAACAGGAGGAGCAAGGAGGGAGGAGGGAACGGCCGCTGAAGGACCAGAGAGCCTGCAGACCACCTGGACCTTGAGACGTTGCCGAGTCCACGCGCCGAAGACGAGACCATACAGAGGAGACCCATACCAAGTGATAGTTGTCTTGTTAAGTGCTTTGCCGATCGGCGCGGGCCCTCCCCCCCCCTCCCGCGATGGATTCAGATCACAACCGGTCGCGTGAGATCACAACCGGACGGTTCAGATCACAACCGTCCAAAGCACCAGGCACGGTCAGATCACAACCGAGGAGAAAGCCAATGAAGAAAACATAGTGAAGTGTTATTATATTTGTGCATTGCTATCTGAAATTGCAACGGACACCTTACAGGAGCATATTCACGCGTGAGCTATTGCGGTTGGGACCTCGCGCGTCTTTCACTGGATCGTAGTAGTAGTAGTAGTAGTAGTAGTAGTAGTAGTAGTAGTAGTAGTAGTAGTAGTAGTAGTAGTCGTAGTAGTCGTAGTAGTCGTAGTAGTCGTAGTAGTCGTAGTAATCGTAGTAGTCGTAGTAGTTGTTGCTGTAGTTGTATATGTAGTAGTCGTAGTAGTGGTAGAAGTAGTAGTGGTAGTAGTAGTAGTAGTAGTAGTAGTAGTAGTAGGAGGAGGAGGAGGAGTAGTAGTAATAGTAGTAGTGGTAGTAGTAGTAGTAGTAGTCGTATTACACTTCGTAGTATTAGTACTCGTACTTGTGGAGGGCTAGTAGTACAAGTAGTAGTGGTTGTATTATTATTAGTAGTAGTGGTAGTAGTAGTAGTAGCAGTAGTAGTAGTAGTAGTAGTAATAGTAGTGAGAATGGGAGCAGTAAGAGAATAGTAGTAGTAGCACTAGTAGGAGTAGTAGTAGTCGTTGTCGTCGTCGCCGTCGTCGTAGTCGTAATAGTAATAGTAGTAGCAGAAGTGGTATTAGTAGTAGTAGTAGTTGTTGTTGTAGTAGTCGTACTAGTAGCAGTAGTAATAGTAGTAGTAGCAGCAGCAGCAGTAGTAGTAGTAGTAGTAGTAGTAGTAGTAGTAGTAGCAGTAGTAATAGTAGCAGCAGTGGTAGTAATAGTAGTAGTAGTAGTAGTAGCAGCAGCAAAAGTAGGAGTGGTAGTAGTGATGAACCTCTTACAGAACCTCTCACAGAACCTCTTTCAGAACC